TTATTAGTGATTTCTTCTTCAGCTTTTTCTATGCCATTCGATCTGCATTCTCATCAACACCGTAACATTGTATCAGCTGTGTTCAATGAATGCTGCAAGTTGTTTGGCATACAAAAGACCAGGACAACGCCACTTCACCCACAGTCTGATGGGATGGTAGGAAAGTACAACTGGACACTGGGACAGGATACGGCAAACATTTGTAATAGCTGCCAATATAACTAGGATGTCTTACTCCCTTCGCTGTTGATAGTTTATGTTTATGTTTGTTCGGGAACTTCTGTTGCCAGTGTACCTGAAAACAGGACGCCCACCTTTAGAAGAGTTGCTTAAAAATGTGGCAGACTTCGTGAAAGTGTTGTCTAAAAGGATGGATGATATTCATCATCAAGTGCATTCAAACTTAAAAGCGTCTGCTGATTCCATGAAGCTATGTTATGATAAGAAATCTACTGAAGTCAGCTTTGTACCAGGAGACAAAGTGTGGTTATATAATCCCAGGAAGACCAAAGGGAAGTCTCCTAAGTTGTCTTCTCCATGGGCCTTCCTATGGAGAAGACATAGTGGATCATCTCTCAGACATGACTTTCCGAATAAAATGTGGTTGGCGAGGTAAGCCAAAGGTGGTGCATGCCAACAGGCTTTGGCATTATCACGGTCCAGGATATTTCAGTTGGAACAAAGTGAACAATGGAACAAATGATGCTACTGAAGACGTGTCACCTGAAAAACTCTGAGAAACTCTACCCAGTTTTGAGAAGGAAAACAGTGAAGCCATTAATGAAGTTACTACCACTAATGTGACTGCTACCGATAATGGGACATTTCCTGATTGAGTAGATGAATCCCACATGAAGCAAAAGCCAACGAGACGGAGACAAGTACGGAAGAAGATATGTCCCGTAAAATTAAGAGACTTTGTTGAATTTTAATTTTGTATTTGTAAATCCTGTACATTTAATTAAGTTATTGTTAATTATCTATTGGTTTAATGTAAGTGGCTGTTGTTTGGGATGAACAACACTAAGGAAGGGGCAGTGTTACAACAGCGGAAGTAACATGACGCTGGTATCATGCGTGAGGAGTTTCTCGAATTATTGGGGAAGTCCTTGAATGTTGGAAATGCGTTTTCATTGGTATATAAGCCTGGCAGAGAAAGCCAGCGGGGATAGATATTGTGAATTGCTGTGATTTATAGTGTGTATTATAAAAGTTGTTCAGTTTAAAGTGACGAGAAACGTTCTGATTGTGGAACTACTATGTACTAAAAGTTTGTATCGAGGAAGAATAAACTGGTTTAATTAAGAAAGGACTTGTATCACTGAAGATCCTTGAAAATAATTTCTACCAGAAACAACCAAACAAGCAGATACGTAACAATACTTTCAGCTATATGAATATATAAATACCCATTAATATCGTAAATATAAATTCTTTATGCCCTTCAGAAGAAGGATGTCATGTTTCATCTGTGGGGGCCTTCAGTTAGCATTAATCACAGTCTGGATTCTTGTTATTTTAACACTTGCCACCAATTTTTGGTGCACATCTGATGAAATAGACTACCATACCTCTTGCAAAGCAACTCTATGTGTAGTGAGATTTTGGAGCCTGTCTGTCATGCTAATTTTCAGACAACCCAGAGCAGTTCATATGAATTCATGGCCATAGCTCTTAATTGGCCAAGACAGATTCTGAAGAATATTTGTTTCACACTACTTAGGGACAAAGTGTAGATTATCCAGTTGTTCTTAAGGTTGGTGAAAGAAATGTGGTATGATTCCACTAAGTGTTTGAAATGTCTGCCATCATTATCAATAAGAGTTTAGTAAATGGTAATACATGGTACACAGCTTTGTGCAACTGACTACTGTGGATAACAGGAATGTGATGCCAAATTCTATTCTTAAGGTCAACAGTCATCTGCAGATGGTTACGACGTTACACCACCAATGTTTCCAGACAGATCCACAACCAGAAATCTGCAGATGTGAAATCTGGTGACCATGATGGCCAATTATGTGGGAATCCCTACTGATGATTCTTTTATTGAAACCATTAAATAACTGGTCCTTCCCAGTACTTGTAACATGTGGTGATGTACCATCTTGGAGCCCACAGTTTTCTACTGAATGTCCCTTTCATACAAGATGGGTAGCATCATGTTAGCTACATGGGCCTTGACAAACACCACCTTTATGACAAAACTTGTGTATAGCCATTCCTGTAATATATACATTGCTGTAGAAAAACTTCAAAAGTGTTATACAACCTTGGAAAAACTCCACCCACAGGCATTTCTGCAGGCAAACTAACAGCTTACAGAGAAAATGTCAGAAGAAGAATCTGCATAGAGTAAGTGGCATTCCCACATGGCAAAATATACAAACTCTGAAAATGTATTCCACCTGAAAGTGTATGTCCACTTAATTCAGTAAGTGGCATTCACACATGGCAAAATATACAAACTCTGGAAATGTATTCCACCTGAAAGTGTATGTCCACTTAATTCAGTAAGTGGCATTCCCACATGGCAAAATATACAAACTCTGAAAATGTATTCCACCTGAAAGTGTATGTCCACTTAATTCAGTAAGTGGCATTCCCACATGGCAAAATATACAAACTCTGAAAATGTATTCCACCTGAAAGTGTATGTCCACTTAATTCTGCTAACAGGTTTGTTATGGTTTGGGAGTTACATGCTTCATGCCTTGCAGCTATAAAGAGTGGCCCATGCCCTCACTTATAGCATTACTTTTTTAAGCCCAACATGGCTCACAATTTTTGTTAGCTCAGAATAAAGATGGAAAGTATTTCTTTTTTTCCATATATCAGAAGAGATTTTACTATTTATTTGCAATAGCAAAGAAAAAAAATAGTCTCTTGATTAAAGCTTTGAGTTATAAAAGAAATATGGCTGTTGAAATCAATTGTAATAAAAATAGAATTGTGCTTTTTTTCTTGATTTAGTGAAATAACCTTCAGCATGGTACTTAGATTATCTAGATAATAATTAGTTCAACCATGAAAAAAAAGGTGATAAATGCAAGTGAGTAATATTTTGGAGAATAAGGTATGAATTTGAACTTATTATCTTTCAGGAATGTTAACAAAAAAGTGACTGAAGAACAAGCTAGAAAAACTTATGACAGAGCAATCAAACTTGAGCAGGAATTTTCAGAATATTTTACAGGTATAATGTTTTCTTACTTTAGTCAAAGCTTGAAGCTCCCTCTGCTTCTACCAGTTTTACTTATTTGAATATTTGGGCTGTTTTTAAACACCTTTAGAATAATCATACATTAAAGAAATATACAAATGATGATGCTTTCAAACACAGTTTTATTTCTGATATGAAATTATGTGAATTCAAGAGGCTAAAAGATAAAATCTAATGTGTGATTTAGATGATTAAAGTTTGGAAATTTAGTAAAGATTTAAAAAAAAAACGATCTGTACATTAGCTAAAAGGATAAGAAACCTTCAAGTGTTCTGTATATAATTATCAGTGATTAAATGAAACTGCTTGCGAACATAATTTTGGGTCTGCCATACTTTGTAAAAGAAGATAAAAGTTGCAAAATAAATATGTAAAAGTTTGGTAACATTTTTGAAAGAACAAGAGTGAATAAAGTTATTAATATATGCTCTGAGAACTGGAAACAACTCTTTTGAATTTCAAATACGTACTTGGATAAAACATCCTGTATTTCTTCTTATGTTTTGGAGAAGTTGCTCCTAACAAAAACATTGTTTTCATTATTACAAAAGTATTATAATATAAGTTTTGTTCAAATTCTGTATTATAACAAGTGTGTTGATTTTTCTGTTTTTTAGCTGTTGTTCAAGGAGATACCCCAGAAGAGATCTATGCAAGGGTGAAACAAGTTATTGAAAAGCAGAATGGTCCCACTGTTTGGATAGCAGCCAAGGACAAACTCTGAGCACCCCCTACCCACAATTGGAGGGTCTTCATGTTATATTTATATAAAAAGTGTGTTGACAAAGAAATTGACTAGGCATCTTTTGTTGCCATTGTCACACCTCATTGCCTTTAATTTGACTTGACCTCTTTTGTTGTATTTGTCAAATCCTTTAATAAGAGCAAAAGAGGTCTCTCAAATATGCTGCGTGATTATTGTCATTGGAGGGGTGTGGATGGGGATGGAATGCATAGTTTCATAAATAAACCTCATATTTAGGCAATGTAATAAGCTACATACAGCTGATTGAAAATTGTATTAAATGATCATTATCAGTAAGCAAACACTGGAGTTACACATATTTTGCTTTTTGTAAAGTTATGTTGCAAGATTCTCTATGCCAAAACTTGTAGTGATATTCTTCAGTGGATCAGTTGGCTTTCTCATTCGTTCCTGTAAAATTCTTTCCAAACTCCTTTCATAATAGTATAATCATAACAATTCATGTTTAATAATAACCTTTATTATTTGTTTTGTGCTTTGAATCATGTTGTGAATAGGTTTTTTGAGAACCAACTTTTTGTAGTTTTCTTTAAAAAACTGAATCATGGTAGTTAAAAACTCCTGGGTTTGATACTGTGCATTTTTAGAACATTTTGTGGAAATGAAGTTTCTTGATAAAGAAAAAGAATGATAAAAACAGCATGTAAATACATGCTATACATTCAAAATCAAGCTATGAAAAAAATTAGACAGTGAGATAATGCAAAAACTTTATGCTTTTATATAAGTACTAGAGAGGGATGAAAGTTACACATTGAACTTGTATTTCAAAACTTGAGAAAATAATTACCAAACTTTTAAGTGTTCTTCTTATTCCTGAATTTACTCAAAGTAATCTTGCAAAACATGTAGTGGCAAGATATGAATTGGTGCGAATGCTAGAAGTTATGTTTAAAATAATACCAGTATAGTTCTCATTGCTAATAGTAGGCTGAACACATTATCCATATGTAATGTATAATGAAAGCATAAAGGTAACTGGTAATACTTTCTCTCTTGTCTCTTTGTTTACTATCTTGTTAAAGCCATACATTTTGTTATATTTTTAATAAATAATTTATTTTAAAAAAAGTATAAAAGTAGGAGAATAAGTGAAGGCTTGTTGGAACCCAGCTGTGTATATAAACTGTTGGTGTTTAACTGTAAATTTGTAACTGTATGTGAATATTAAAAGCACAGAGAGAATTCTATTGATTATTTTCATGTTTATTCCATTTTCTTTTTTTTTTCAGTCCTATACATCAGTGCTTCTCAACTGGGTGAATGGTTCACCAAGGTGTTAATGAGATCAGAATCAAGGTGAATGAGAATTATTGGAGTGAATGGCAGGGTGACTGAGTATTATCAATTATATAACAAATTCAAGAGCAAAAAATGTCATTAGTTGTTATTATTTATTCTAGTTGTAGTTTAATAAATACATTTATTTTATGTTGTATTTATTCTAGTTGTAGTTTAATGTATATTTAAGTCATAAAGAATTTTGCATTTTAATTTAGTACTTTTTTTTTTCTATTTTCGAACTGGGGGTGAGTGAGCTGTTGTGAAAAACTTATAGGAGCGATTGATATTGTATATGGTTGAGAAGCACTGGTGTTTAACATGGTAAGGAACTGGTTTTCCATTTTAACAGTAATGCTGCCTTTTTTATCATGTAAGTTCAGTTAATATCGATAAGATTTGTTATATAATTTAAACCAAAACACAGATTGCATATTCATGTATTAGAATAACATACCCTTTCAATCATTTAAATCTAAGTAAGAAAAAAAGATTGATTATTTTGTGCCATATAAAGTGAAAGCAAAACAAAAAAGATTAAACCCCAAAATTATTATACTATTAGGAGTGGAATATTTAACCTAAACTGTAAAAAAGAACCAATGTTGTGCATATAATATGCTCATGCTGTTTTGTCTGTCTGTTGCTATTTACAAATAATAATCCACCTTAGGATAGGAATAAAAAAACTATGGTCTGGTCAGAGGTTCAAAACACATATTAGTACTGTGTAAAGTTAGCATCATTCACATTTCTTAGGTTGGAAAACACTGAACAACATTTTTCTGAATGACATCTGGCTTTTTTTTTTGAAGTGTAATCCATTTTACCTATATAATAGATATTTAATAGTATTTAAAAAGCTATGCAGGTAATATGAGTATAAGTAAATTAAAGGATTCCACATTTAGAAAAGTAGAATTTATTATACCTTCATCAACATGTATCAATACTGTTGTTGAATTTATTGCTCAGTTTCACAATAAACATTTATAGGAACTTAAAATTACATTCTATGCAGAGAATTTTTAAAATTCATCAGAATATTACATCACTTCTCCATCTATGAATCATTTAGCTCAAAAGACTAGAAGATTTAACTTCTAAATGAAAAAAATGAAACAGAACTATAACTATTTCCAATGCAAGATTTTTATAAATGGTTGAAAGAATCATTTACTACAGATGGTAAATGATTAAATGTATAGTCTCAGATTTGTGGTTTACCTGAGCACTACTGCTACAATTGATTTTGTTTTTAAATCATTACTGATAAGATACTGCTGTGCCTGTAGCTTTTTTTTCAGCTCCAGGGTGAACAAAAAAAGCTCGCACAAACCCTTTTTTTAGTGCTAAGCTGCACCACAACTGTTGTGTAGTGCTGTGATGATGCACCGATACATCACGATATTTTATTCCATGACCACTTTATCTTATATCCCACAGTACTTGGAGCCCAACAGTACAAGCCATCCTTGGAGAACATGTGTACTTGTTTACCAACAATGGCGGTATGCTCAATACCTGACCATAAGAACTTGCTACACATGTATAGTTAAACATAGCCTCAACAAATCAATGAATACTGAAATATGACCCTATCACCAGCATCTCAGCAGTACTGGACTCTGCATTGAAATGCCATTCACAGATTTTTTGTCAGCAACTAGCACAAACAGTCTACTCAATATGTTGCAATTTTAACATGAAGTTTGCCCTATTCTAATCAACTCCTTAAACATAATAAACTGATTGCCCCACAGGTTATTACTTTACTCAAATCAACTGGTATTGTATCATGCTGTTTGGATCAGACCTCAAATTTTAGCACTGCAAATCCTTCAAGCTCATTACTGAGAAACCCAGATATCATATGTACAGGACTGTTTCAATAGATTCAATACATTTTACAGCCACTTAAGTATGAAACTTTCACTTGTATAATTTCGTGTCACCTTTGCCAGGTACCTCTTGGCCTTGGCAAGCACTTCAATCACCTTGGGTTCATCAGTTTCACCCAGCCCTTGCAGTTGCCTTCCTCTTTCTGTTACATGGTCTAGGTTGGTATTGTTGTCTTTACTGACATCAGAAATTCATTGTGTTGCTGAAATGTATGCCACGATGGTGCTTGGATCACTGATGGTGCAGTATTCAAGGTGAAGGCCACAATATTCACTATGGAAGTGCTGGTATAGGTGGTTCATTATCTTTTCAAAAATTCGTTTCATGTTTTACCAGATATTAATTTGGAGAAATTCTTTTTTGGTTTTGATACTGCAGGAGGTTTACATTTTGGAGGATGTATATGACAATCATCTTCCACCTGAAAACTGCTGATTAAAGTGGCATTGACTGTACTGGCTTGATTCTACCATGTAATCCAGGGTCATAGTGTCAGGGCAAATTGCTTGTTTTCTTCCAAGAGGCTATGTCTCATGACTGTCCAAGAGTAGCAAACATTTCTCCTTGGGCTCTTATTTGGCCAAATAGGTCAAGGGCAGCCTTTGGAGTCTTGGGGACTACTGTGTAGTCTCCCATATTGCTGAATAAATCATTTTCCTTCCATTTTCAAAAGTGAAAAAAGAGGCAGGTCAGACAAGGCAAATAATCTACTGATCAACAGAGCTAGAAAGACAAAGTAGCTGTATGGGTTATATAGAAGAAAATCTGGATTAAAAATTCTTGATTAATTCAGTTTCTGATTGTTTAGAGGTTCAACTTATAGGTTTGAAAGTTGGAATATCCTAGATACAACTATAATCTACAATTTTAGATATGAAATGTTAAAAATATTTCTCTGGTCAAGGTTCATTTATACAGACATACATGTGTACATGTATGTTATCTATTGAAATGTCTCCAAAGAACTTGTGAATGCACTGGTCCAACAGGTTTTGTATGGGACATAGAATTAACCTATATACCAATATGGCCTATCACTGGAATCTTGCCAGAGCCAAGCCCAAATAACATAGCTATACCAACAACATACACATTAATTTTCCTTTATTGTCTAGTTATTATGAAAATGAAGCCTTGTTCCAATGAAAAAAGATGGATTCAAAATTACATGGAATTTAACCTATACAAATTAAATAACTGAAATCAGGCTAGCCTTTGTACAAGCACTAGCCTCTAGCATATGACCATAAAAATCTATTAACACAAACATCTCACTTCTAAATGACTTTGTTCCAATATAAGCATAGTACAATTGAAGCAACAATAGGAAGTAGAACAGATGTCAATTATCACCTCAGACAATACAATTGCAGTCAGCACTAGCATGTGCTCTACCTGCAACGTTTATCAAGAAAGAAAATGTTCAGTAAAACTGCATGCTTATAAGATACTTCAATCTGCATGATACATGAAAATCAATGAAAATATGTGGTAAACTAAGCTTTATTTTGTTATGACACATAAGCAGTTATTAGTAGGTTTCACTTTCTTCAGTAAATGTAATTTGCTTATGAATATTTCAAATGGGTTCAATTGAACATGCTCCTCCTTAACATTATCAAAAGCAACATGCTTAACTTATTCTAGTGTAATTCCTCTTGGTACTTTCATCCCTCCGATGAAGAATCCAGTAGATGTGAATATTACAGTATCTAAAACTGAAAATATATCCCACAAACATCCATGACATTATTGGGTACACCATAATTTGCTATCATATGGCTTAAGCCACAGTTCTCTATGTATTTTCAACAAACATGAATAGTTTCATATGTACTGACAGTATATGTGTGCAAAACCACATAAATATAACCATATACACACAAATATATATATTTTGTATTATCATATATGCTTATAGTATCTTATAGATTGTCTGGTGACCTACATACATTAACCATGGTGGCATTAGCTACTACTCACCTGATATGTCTCAATAGCCAAACTATTCATCACAGCACAGCGATCAATGAGTTGATAAACTTAAATCTCTCTCTCAACATCATGAAATAAATCATCACAGGCAAAATTTATCCAAACTTTTCAGCTGAAATTCATCCAACCTGGATTGATATTTGGACTGTCCACTGCAGCAGTTATTCTCAACTGGTGGGACATGAGATGTGCAATTATGGGTCACCATGGGTTGGGACAACTGTAACTGCCTTAAAATAATGAATCATCAACTACATATGTAGGCCTTTACTATTCTGCTAAATAACTAAGTGGACCTCGAGGTACAAAAGGTTGAGAAACTGCACTATAGCATAAATCAATACATTCACTGTTGTAAATGGCTAAAAACATTAGCTGCCAAACTATTTCCATATTGTATTGTTACCTATGAGTTGATCCACCTACCACAGCTGGCATAACAGAAAGACAAATACAGGCAAAATTCAGTAAACAAGGGTAATTTTCACCATGGTTTTTCAGAATACACTTGTACAAATCTCACATAATACTACTTAAATGCAATGCTTCCGTATACACAAGTGACCCTCGTGTTTTTTTTTCCCCTAGTAACATAATACAACTGCTAATAAAATTATAACATAAAGATGTATTAGAAATACTAGTAATCATTTCCAGTCATGCCAAGTGTTGATGTTTGAGTCCTTCCAACTAATAGCATCAACTGTCCAACCTATACTGTAATCAAGTAACTATTAAACAATGTGTTGCATGCATCCTACTGAAAAATACTACTTGATAACTAAAAAAAAAAACAAGAGTTATAATACATTTTCAATTGACAACTGTTTTCAGACTTTTAGCAATCAATTGCATTTATGCCAATCATTGATGTTCTAGACATTACATTTACTAACATATACCAATTGTATTGTAATCAAGCAGTTATTACACAATTTAAATAAAATTATGTTTGTTAATTCAGAAAGTAAAGAATGCCATTTCCCTTCAGTCATTGATT